TGATCTAGATGATGATGATGATGATGATGATGCTGACAATGCACTCCAAGGACCTCCTAGCCCGAGAGGTAAACAAATCATTTCCTCTTCCTCTTCTAGTGATGAAGAATTAAGGAGAGTCCTGGAGAAATCGAAATATGAAACAAAAGGAGGTGGGGAATCATCCAAAGCAACAACCAAGCAGCCAACTGCCGTCCTGATCACGAATCCACCCTTGGCTCAGAATACTCCTAAGGCTACTGCTCAACCTACTGCCAGTATCGAAGAAGAAGCTGATAAAGAAGAAGATGCTATATCCCTAGCCAATCTCTTTGTTCAAGAAAGGGGAGCTTCTATCAGATTCATTAGCAGATCAGAGGTCAGACTCCATAAAAGGCTCATCAAAATGCAGAAACAGATGAAAGAAAGACTTGATATCAGGTTTGAGGAAGTCCACAGGCATATTAGAAATGACCTTATGATCCAACAGGTCTTCAATGCTGAGCAGAGGGCTCTCCTCAAAATCAAGACCTCACAACACGAAGCCGTGGCTGCAGAAATCAAACAAGAACTTGCGACACTCAGAGCAAGAGATGATGAACTGGCAAATCAACTTCTCACATACCAAAGACATCATCATCCCTTGACAACAGCAGCAGCCTCATCGCAACCCGCAGAGCACTCTGCTCAGGTGAATTCTGTCCCTACCTTACCCACTAATCTTGAACAGGCCATTCAAACGATTCAAGCGCATGAGGAGTTCATACAATATCTCAAGTCCAAGGAACTACCTGCCATCCTTCAACTATCCCAGAAAATGGTTACAAAACAGGTAGAGCATTCAGAAGCAATTGGTAAAACAAGAGCTGATGTTGCAAAGCATCTCACCAATCTACACAAAGCTACTCAAGAAGCTTTCCTTAAACAAGGAAATGAACTTAAGCAACTTGGTCAACACCAACAAGCAACAAATCAGCAGCTCCAAAATCTGGACCAAGTAGTAAAAGAGGACATCAAAGTGGATCTAACGGATCTTCGCAACAATGTCCTTGCACTAGCTATTGAAGTCAACGACCTCCATCCAACTAGAAGACGACATATTGACGTTGACTCTGATCCAGAAATAGAGGCTCTATTCCGAGAAAGCTATACCCCTACTGATGCCAAAAAGGGGGAAAAGTCAACACAAGCAGGCCCCCCCTCCAATCGATCTCTGGCAGCAAAGAAAGCAGCTGAAACAAGAAGAAAAAATCAACTCTACAAAGAAGAAGCTGAGATAAGAAGAAGAAAGGAAGAAGAGGCCAAAGCCAAGGAAGAAGCCGCTAAGAAGAAACAAGAAGACAAACAAGAATAGACTAGTTCTCCAGTCCGAAAATGACTATAAACTATTGTACCTTGATATATAGAACAATGTACATAAACTCAATGAAGATTCAATAAAAATATTTTGGTTCTTGTGTTGTATAGTTTTGGCATCATCAAAAAGGGGGAAATTGTTAGTACCCAATTTTGATAGATTTTGATGATGCCACTATACTTTGCACTCGTACATTATGTCTAAATTAAATTCAAGTATTGGCGTTATGATGTGACAAAATAAATGTAAAATTTTTGGAACTAATGAAAATTACACTGGAAAGTTAAAATGCAATAAGGTTTACCTTAAAAGGATATTTAAATCCTGCCAGTATAATTTTTATTTGCACACAAAAATTAACTGTCACAAAAATAGGAGCCATTTGCTCGAAAATCAAATACATTAATGTATATGATTGAGAGACAATATTTGACCTACCTTAAATGCTAAAACATGTACATAGACCTACAAGCATGGGACGAACACATGAAAAGATGCTCCAGCAGCTGAATAATGCAAGACAAAGAGATCAGCCGCAATAAATGCTCCAGCACAAAAAGACGAATGTACAATTCGTCCTCACCAGTGATTCAACGGAAGAGATCAAACTATCCTAACCAACGGATAAGATTGATCAACCAAAAAGCCTATAAATAGAGGCTGAAACGAAAGTTTCTAACCAAGCTTGAGCATCCTAAGTAGAGAAATACTTTCATCAAAGCATATACGAGCTATCTAGCAAAAGAGAAAGTGCAAACTCAACTTTACTCTCTGCTCAGTCTCATGCTTCACTAAGCTCTTAGATTAACTCAACACTTTTACATCTTTAGAGCTTAGTTCATGGTTGGAGGTTAGAACTTTCTTATAACATCTTCACAAATGGTTGTAAACACTTAGGAGAACAGTTGTTCGAATCCTATAGTGTGGTTAGATAGATAGAGTACCTTTTGATCCCCACTGGTTCATTAGAGAAAAGTCTAAGGACTGAGTAACTTTGAGTGATGTTATACTCATTGTGAAAAACCTTCAATCTAGACCTAAGAGTTGTAAAGGTTAGATTGGCACTAAGTGTATTGGGCTAAAACACTTTAGTGAAATCCATCTGAAATAGGGTGGGACTGGACGTAGGAGGATTACACCACCTCTGAACCAGGATACATCGTGTGTTGATTTTACTTCATTCAACAAAACACACACTCAACACCTCTCTTATAAAGATTGTAGTTTGCCAGCAGCATCTTAAGCAGTTGTCTTATTTGACCCAACTGCTTATCCTTCTGCTTAATCACTCACTCTCTTTGAGACTATCTCCACACATTTCACTTGCTAAAGCATTACCAAAAAGGGTTGTTCTATGAGTTCCCGGAAATTCACTTTCAAAATATAGCAGGTGCCTCAGCAGTCTCCTCAGTACCACCCAACTGCTGAGCTCCCTGCTCACATACACATATTTCCTTTAAACAACTCTACATCACCAGATCCTCATAACATCATCAACACAAAGTTTTGCTTAAAAGGATCTCTGAAAATCTGCTTGTAACCTAAGCAGGTGGCTCAGCAGTCCCCTTTGTACCACCCAACTGCCAAGACCACTGCTCCAGTTAGACTTCTCCTTAATCTTACTAACGCACTTTTTCAGACATCTTTCTTCATTCTAAACAACGTTTCACCATCACTTTCATTATAAAGTCAATATTTCTCTAACAGTTACCTCAGCAGTTCCCTGCTATCTAGCCAACTGCCAAGCTAACTGCTAGCTATCTAAGTCCAATCTTCCCCAAATTAGAAAGTGGTCAATCACTTATTACATAAAGGGTAAAGACTTCCGCTGTGCATCTACTAATCTCTCAAAAGATTTTAGATCAACTTTTCTAAAGGGAAAACTTTGTAAAATTGAAAAAGACTTAAAAGTCTATTCACCCCCCCCCCCCCTCTAGACTTTTACCCTATTCGGGACCATCAGCCCCCAACCCCTTGATCGACTTCTCTTTGGTCGTCATCAGTCCCCCACAGATCGAATTCCCCTTGGGCAATGCACCCCTACTGATCGACGCCCCCACAGGTCGACCTCCGAAGATCGATTTTTCCTTTTCGGACGACTTCCTAAAGGCCGACGCCATAACCTTGGTCCATTACCCTAACTTACTCAACATTTCGTTAGCCAACTCAGTCATATTAACGTGTTAATCTAACAAGTGTACTCAATTAACACTAAATAATCGAGTTTATGTACTTATAAATGTCATATACAATATAATGTACTTTTTACTTCACGTCATACAAGTTGATGTACTTAATTGACCCTTTCCTCCTTTTTTGTGTTGGTATATGGGCAGCATGCAGGGTATCTGAATAGGCATATGGGAGGAGTGGCAAACTATTTCTTAAAAAAAATATTTTTACTTCGTTTGGACAAGCTGACTTTCTTCTTCCTCAAATTATATAAGTAAAAAAGTTGAGCTCTTTGCACTCACCACGTTTCAAAAGAGTAATTTTCCTAAATAGGAGCAAAATATATTCGTTTTCCACTAAATATGAGTCAATGTTTAATCTTCCCTAAATATGATTTAGAAATTACCTTTCTACTCTAATTTAATTAATTAATTAATTAATACTTTGTATAATTAATTGCTTCCTAATTTCCTCGCATAACTAAGGTCTATTGATGGTGGGGTAGTCAGGCGGCAGCGTCGGCTTACTGGCGGTGGCGGCGGCGGCCGCTCTAACAACAATGTAGTGGCTGATCCAACCTATAGAGGTATCATTGTTCAACCATAAAAAGGACTATTATTTGGAGAATTTCAAACATCTATGCATCTAGGTATCATCCACTCTACTTTTCACCTATGTTATAAAATTGGGAAAACTGTCAAATAGGCCCCCCCTACTAATACAGAAAAGTCAATTAAGCACCTGAACTCAAAAAACACTCAATTAAGCCCCCGAACTATAAAAAACGAGGCAAAACAGTCCTTTTAGCAGGTAATTAAGTGGTTAAAAAGAGATAAGGAAAAAAGGAAAGAAAGAGAAAAAGAGAAAAAGAAAATGTAAAAGCATGCCACATCATTTGCCACACATGCAACTTAACTGGGAACGGTTAATATCCTGCTAAAAGGACTATTTTGCCTCGTTATATTTAGTTTGTGGGCTTAATTGGATGTTTTTTGAGTTCGGGAGCTTAATTGACTTTTTCGTATTAGTAGGGGGCCTATTTGACACTTTTCCCTGTCAAATTCGAACCAGCTTGAGTGGGTTGACCCGGAACTCGGCCACCCGCTTGAAATACCGGGCTAGTTAGGGGCTTAGGGCCCAATCCGCAAATCTGCGCGAAAATCCGAAGACCCGCCTGCAACCTGGCGGCGGTGGCAAATGAGACAGACGCCAAAATTCTGACAACGGTAGCTCTGACGGCGGCTCTAGCAATGGCTGATCCAACCTATAGAGGTATCATTGTCCAACCGCTCTACTTTTCAGTTTTCACATTGTTGGGATATATTATCCCGGCCTATTACTGTTCAGGAGTCCAAGGCTTCACGTGGTACGAAACCCAATCAGTAAGGCCCATTTTAGCCCACCAGGACCGATATCGGCCCGTTTGGCCCATTATGGTGGAGAGCCCCTTCTCCCCTTCTCCTATAAATAGGGAGCTTAGCCTCCATGTAAAGGATCGACTTCCTTCTTCCTTCTCCCTCTAGAATAGCTCAAATACTCCATGAATGGAGCTCAAAATGTACTATGTAATGGTGAGGAGAGCCTAATGAGAATTGAGAGGGCTTGGACATTAGCCTAAAAAGTCCCGTGGTTTTCTCCCTTTCGGGTTTCCACGTAAAAAATGAGTTTGTTCATACACATTTATACATATATTTTCTATATCGTGTTGGATTAAACTCAACACTGGCGCCGTCTGTGGGAATCTGTCCAAAAAGATTCATGTGTTTCTACTGTTCTTGAGTTTTCTACAAAAAAAAATCCATACGAAAGGCTACTGGCTTCGGCTTGATTTGCCACAAAAGAGATACAGAAAATGGACTGATTTTCAACAAGGGAAGAAAGAGGAAAAAGATTCTGAGGAAGGGAAGAAGAAGCTAGGAAGCTACGAAAATCTGGAAAGCCAAATATGAATTTTTTCCAGATCTATTTTTGAGGTCACCGGAGCCGTCGCAACCATCCCCGCCGCGGTGGACCTCCGGTGAAGTCAGTTGCGCCAGACGAAGCTCGCTGCAGCACCCCAGCTGTTTCAGGCGGCCACCACCTCAGTCGCACACCACCGCTCGTCATCAGCGACATGGAGCTGACGCAACCTGAAGGAAATTCTGCCATTAATGGCGGCTTGAAGCTTAGGGAAGGTACACCTCGAAGCTCTGCCGGACCCACCTGGCCCGGCCTCGGTCGCTGCCCTTGCGCCGCGGCAACCGCCCGTACCGCCGTCGATGAGGGCTCACGCAGTTGGCCTCGGGTCGGTGGATGGATGCTTCAGCTAGCTTCCCAAAAGATACGAAGTACAGCATATGGATCAGATGCCTTGGTTCTCCAAAGGCCACGTCCACTGGAGGAATGGTGGCAGGCAGATAAGTTTGAGCACCTTGACCAAGTCAAATAGCAAAGGAACCAAATCAAGTTGAGGAACTCACCGGCCGGAGGTCTATACCAAAGGCTTGGAGCATTAGTTTGAGAAATCAATAGTTGGAGTACTTTTGACCAAAGTCAAAATCGATGGAAGGGAGCAAATCTGGCTCTAGAATCCCTCCTGACGGAAGCTTTATCTCCAAAGCCAAGTACATATACATATTCTTAAGTTGGTGCATTAATAGTTAATTGTTTAAAATATTAGTATTGCTAGTATTTTTATCACCATTATTTATTATGAGATTAAAATATCCCAGAATTAAATAGTGTGAACGATGCTCTAAGTGATAATTAATTTCACCGTCATTTTAATTAATGATGAGTTGTGGTGGGCCCGTTGGCCCACTCCTGATCGGCTTAAATTAGCAGGCGGAGAATACCGGAATGGCTTTTGATAGGAAAGTATCATTACTATTACCCGTTACGTCACTATTATTTATTAGGGATAAAAATGTCCCGAATTAAATAATGTGGAGCGAAGCTCTGGTGATGTTTGGTTCAGCCAACATTTTATTGAATATTTAATTTCTTGTGGGCCTGTTGGCCCACCCTCGATCAGCTTGATTAAGTGATCCGAGCGTCTCCAGAAGGGCGATGCCCCGACGACGCGTTTGAATTTGAGGGTTGCGCATTAGTCCGCACGGCACTACGTGCCCGATCGACGATCGTACCCCAGTGTCATTTACGCCATTAGGCGTGAAATGATTATTGCCAAACGTGGCCTGTGGGGCCCGAAGGCACCAAAGCACCCAACCTCCTTTTTCTGAGGGCAGTGCGACCAACTTAGGTCTGAGTTTGAAAACTCACGGACCGATGAATATCTCTATGTGACGTTCGGCGGGCTGCTAATTGGCCCCGCCGCGAGCTGCTACGTCCATTAACCCCGCACGATGAGCCGGGCCGAGGGTCACGATGACCCATAGGCCGGTAATCGTGGGTGTTAGAAAGAAAACCATGCAGATGGTTATGTGTGTATACATATTGTCGGGTCGTGCGGCCCGTTACCATGCTTATTGCGCAGCTGAAGCCGCTCGACGCGCTCGAGTGAAATGATTAGAAGACGCTCGGCCCGAGTCTTGAAGACGTGCAGGGCCGGCTAAAGAGGAGACCATCACGGCTGAGGCACCCCCCTTCCCGACGTGGGGTCCATTTTCTCGAGCATCTCCACCTAGAGGCCGAGGGCCTAGAGGAGACCACCACGGTTGAGAGCAGCGGGACGAGCATCTCCACCCCAGAGACCGATGGCCTAGGAAGAACACCTAGAGGCCGAGGTCTAGAGGCGAATGCCATGACAGAGAACCGTGAGACGACCACCCGTCATTCAGAGGCCGAGGGCCTAGAAGAGATCGTCACGGCCGAGGGCCGTCTGACGCCATCATTACATCATGACCGGCCCCTCGGCACGACATGATCATCATATTTGAAGACCGGTCTTGTCCCCGCACTGCGCGGACGAGGACTGTTGCTTGATTTCAGATCGGCCTCTCATTGCCGACATCATTACATCATGACCGGCCTCTCGGCACGGCATGATTATCTTATTTGAAGACCGGCCTCGTCCCCGCACTGCGCGGACGAGGACCGTTGCTTGATTTCAGATCGGCCTCTCATTGCCGACATCATTACATCATGACCGGCCTCTCGGCACGGCATGATTATTTTATTTGAAGACCGGGCTCATCCCCGCGATGCGCGGATGACGGCCGTTGCTTGTTTTCTCAGATCGGCCTCTCATTGCCGACACCGTTATATCACGACCGGCCTCCCGGCTCGGCGTGCTTTCCATATTTGAAGACCGGTTTTCATCCCCGCTCCTCGCGGATGACGGCCGTTGCTTGTTTTCTCAGACTGGTCTCTCATTACCGATGTTATTATATCACGATCGGCCTCTCACTGCCGACGCTATCATGTTATGTTCGGCCTCTCGGCACGACATATTTATCTTTTGAAGACCGGTTTCATCCCCGCGCTGCGTTGGATGAGAGCCGTTGCTCGGATATATCGGCCTGACCGGACACTATTGTCATCTCCATTATCAGGACCGACTGCTCAGCGACATTATGATCATTGTATATCGGCTCCCAATGCCGACCTTCTTGAGTTAGCGATCGGGCTCACCCCTCCCTTCACGAGGGTGACCATCGCCTTCGCATGACATTATGTGTGACATCACTTGTGGTTATTCTTGGAACCGACGAACGTATTTTCCTCCCTCAAAAAAAAAAAAAGAAGAAGAAAAAAAAAAAGATGGGGAGAAGGGGAGACGAGATCCTATGAGAGAGGGAGTCTTGACGAGGTATGCCTGATCTTCCTTCGCCGCGTATGACGAACGTCTCCCGACGCGGAGGCTAGTAGGAACGTGGGGGGGGGGGGGGGGGGGGGGGGGGGCTAGACGTACCAAAGGGAACCTCGGCAAGATAAACCAGTTCCTCCCATGACCCGTGGTTCGATGAACACCTTCTGCCAAAGCAGAAGGCTAGTAGGGCCACGAGCATGGGACGACGAAGCAGGGAATCCCGACGTGGATAAACCTGTTCCTCCTTGCGATCGTTGGATGACCGAACGTCTTCTTCGAAGTAAGAAGATTAGTAGGACCACGACAGGGACGAACGAAGAATAGGGAATCCCGACGTGGATAAACCTGTTCCTCCTTGCGATCGTTGGATGACCGAACGTCTTCTTCGAAGTAAGAAGATTAGTAGGACCACGACAGGGACGAACGAAGAATTGGGAATCCCGACGTGGATAAACCTGTTTCTTCTCATAGTTGGGATGACGAACGTCTCCTGCGAAACCAGGAGACCAGTACTCACGAGACTTGGGAAGAACAAAGATCGAGTTCTTTACCGGAGTCTGATTGCGTGCCGAGTGTACACCGCTTAGCGGTCCGTACATAGGACCACGGATACGGTAGACGAACGAAGACCAGCACCATGGGTCAGACACGCAGGACCAGTTCTCCACCGGAGTCTGTTGCGTACCGAGTGTACACCGCTTAGCGGTCCGTACATAGGACCACGGATACGGTAGACGAACGAAGATTAGCTCCCCAGATAAGACAGGAAGAACCAGTTCTTTACCGGAGTCTGTTGCGTGCCGAGTGTACACCGCTTAGCGGTCCGTACATAGGACCACAGATATGGTAGACGAACGAAGACCAGCTCCCCAGCTCAGACAGGAGGGACATTGCCCAGATTTATTTCAGGCTCACCATTCCTTCCCGGATGGAGTCCTGGCAGACGAACGGCTTCTCACAGCCAATCATCATAGAGACTTGACACATCACCAGCACGGCCGAGGGCCGTGAGACGATTATCACTCACCGACAGGCCGAGGGCCATGAGATGATCATCACCATTTTTATGCATCACGATCGGCCCCTCAGCGCCATCATGTCCAGATTCACGGTTCGGCTCGCCCATTCCCTCCAGGATGGCGACGACCGTCTTATGCAGTACGATCGGCCCCTCAGCGCCATCGTACCCAGCTCACGTTCAGCTCGTCCATCCCTTCCAGGGTGGCGACGGACGTCTTATGCATCACGATCGGCCCCTCAGCGCCATCGTGTCCAGATTCACGGTTCAGCTCGCCCATTCCCTCCAGGATGGCGACGACCGTCTTATGCAGTACGATCGGCCCCTCAGCGCCATCGTACCGAGCTCACGTTCAGCTCGTCCATCCCTTCCAGGGTGGCGACGGACGTCTTATGCATCACGATCGGCCCCTCAGCGCCATCGTGTCCAGATTCACGGTTCGGCTCGCCCATTCCCTCCAGGATGGCGACGACCGTCTTATGCAGTACGATCGGCCCCTCAGCGCCATCGTAGCCAGCTCACGTTCAGCTCGTCCATCCCTTCCAGGGAGGCGACGAACGTCTTATGCATCACGATCGGCCCCCTCAGCGCCATCGTGTCCAGATTCACGGTTCGGCTCGCCCATTCCCCCCAGGATGGCGACAACCGTCTTATGCAGTACGATCGGCCCCTCAGCGCCATCGTACCCAGCTCACGTTCAGCTCGTCCATCCCTTCTAGGGTGACGACGAACGTCTTATGCATCACGATCGGCCCCTCAGCGCCATCGTGTCCAGATTCACGGTTCGGCTCGCCCATTCCCCCCAGGATGGCGACAACCGTCTTATGCAGTACGATCGGCCCCTCAGCGCCATCGTACCCAGCTCACGTTCAGCTCGTCCATCCCTTCTAGGGTGACGACGAACGTCTTATGCATCACGATCGGCCCCTCAGCGCCATCGTGTCCAGATTCACGGTTCGGCTCGCCCATTCCCTCCAGGATGGCGACAACCGTCTTATGCAGTGCGATCGGCCCCTCAGCGCCATCGTACCTGGCTTCACGGTTCGGCTCGCACATTCCCTCTAGGATGGCGACGACCGTCTTATGCAGCACGATCGGCCTCTCAGCGCCATCGTGTCTCTTTCACGTTCGGATCGCGCATCTCTTCCAGGATGGCGACGAACGTCTTATGCAGTACGATCGGCCCCTCAGCGCCATCGTACCTGGCTTCACGGTTCGGCTCGCACATTCCCTCTAGGATGGCGACGACCGTCTTATGCAGCACGATCGACCTCTCAGCGCCATCGTGTCTCTTTCACGTTCGGATCGCGCATCTCTTCCAGGATGGCGATGAACGTCTTATGCAGTGCGATCGGCCCCTCAGCGCCATCGTACCTGGCTTCACGATTCGGCTCGCACATTCCCTCTAGGATGGCGACGACCGTCTTATGCAGCACGATCGGCCTCTCAGCGCCATCGTGTCTCTTTCACGTTCGGATCGCGCATCTCTTCCAGGATGGCGACGAACGTCTTATGCAGTGCGATCGGCCCCTCAGCGCCATCGTACCTGGCTTCACGGTTCGGCTCGCACATTCCCTCTAGGATGGCGACGACCGTCTTATGCAGCACGATCGGCCTCTCAGCGCCATCGTGTCTCTTTCACGTTCGGATCACGCATCCCCTCCAGGATGGCGACGAACGTCTCATATGCAGCACGATCAGCGCCCCAGCGCCATCATGTCTGGCTCGTGTTCGGCTCGCCCATCCCTTCCAGGATGGCGACGAACATCTCTTATACGGCTCGATTGGCCCCTCGGCGGCATCATGTCTAGTCCACCTCCGGCTCCGCCCATGCCATCTCGGATGGGGGACCCGTCTTATGCAGCATGAGTGGCCCCTCGGCGGCATCATGTCTAGTCCACCTTCGGCTCCGCCCATGCCATCTCGGATGGGGGACCCGTTTATGCAGCACGTCTGCTTCTCGGCGCTGACATGCCCGGTTTATCGATGAGAGCCACCGCTTTCTATTACATCTCACATTCCTTCTCTCATACATTGCACCCATACATTACATGCATTCATACATTCATGCATCATACCTCATACATTCATACGTACACACGTGCATCATGTTTTGACAGTACCGCGACGTCGGTTTATAGACACTTGGACCTCTAAGCTTCTCCGATTGGAAAGCTCGAGTCAGAGTGCTTTACTCCCGCCTGATGCATTCAGGCGGAGTGTGCCCGTGGAGGAGCACCCTTCGCCCGACCCTGTCGGGAAGGGGGGTGCCTCACTGGTAGATTACGTTCAGGAGAGCAGACACTCACTCATACATTATGATTATGTGAAGACACAGTTTCCAGCAAGACAGAGGAAGAGCGCAGACAGAGTATATTTTCTCGAGCAGATTCGCGAGCTCACTACTCAAGAAACTGGGGGACTTGTGTTGGGATATATTATCCCGGCCTATTACTGTTCAGGAGTCCAAGGCTTCACGTGGTACGAAACCCAATCAGTAAGGCCCATTTTAGCCCACCAGGACCGATATCGGCCCGTTTGGCCCATTAGGGTGGAGAGCCCCTTCTCCCCTTCTCCTATAAATAGGGAGCTTAGCCTCCATGTAAAGGATCGACTTCCTTCTTCCTTCTCCCTCTAGAATAGCTCAAATACTCCATGAATGGAGCTCAAAATGTACTATGTAATGGTGAGGAGAGCCTAATGAGAATTGAGAGGGCTTGGACATTAGCCTAAAAAGTCCCGTGGTTTTCTCCCTTTCGGGTTTCCACGTAAAAAATGAGTTTGTTCATACACATTTATACATATATTTTCTATATCGTGTTGGATTTAACTCAACACACATGTTTTAAAATCACCAAAATGTGTAGTTTTCGTTTGCCGGATTTAGGATGAGTAATGCTGCTCACACGGCTGAGCTGCCGTAAGATTACTCGCCGCCCGCCAGCTTTGAAAGCTCATAAGCTCTTACACCAAAGCGCCTCCATCTTTCCGCACGTAGAGCGATCTTTTCTGCTTCTCTTAAAGACATGTTCCAGTTCAGCTCATATTCGTCAAGTCCAATGCTATATGCTCGTCCGTGCTCTGGATCACGACAACATTCTTCTCAATCGATTCGTTGGCGCGGTGTCTGCTGCTGGGTTCTCCGGCTATGTGTATTGCTTGGTCTTCTTTGCTCCCAACCCGGACATGTACCTATTCAACACTGCCATTGAAGCTCTCGCTTGCCAGCCACGTTCAACCAAACAGGCCATTAATCTCTACGGTAGAGCCCGAAACATTGGTTTGAAACTCGATACTTATTCAATTCCTTTTGTGTTAAACGCTGTTATCTTCGATAGTGGATTGAGATTCACCGGTGAACAGATTCACTGTGATGCCGTCAAGACGGGGCTGAACAATGATGTCCACGCAGCGGTGGCACTTGTTCGCATGTACTCTGCCTACAGACTTGTTACTGATGCACGGAAGGTGTTTGGTGAAATGACGCAAAAAGATGTGGCTTTGTGGAATGCTATGATGGCTGGCTATGTCAAGGCTGGTGATACAGAAGCTGCAGCATTCTTATTCGAATGTATGCCCGGGAGAAATGTTGTTTCTTGGACTACTATTATAGCTGGCTATGCTCAAAAGAATCAGTCTCGAGGGGCCATTTCCGTTTTCGGGAGAATGATGGCTGAGTCGAATGGAGTCAAGCCTGATGAGGTCACCTTGCTGGCTGCCCTTTCGGCTTGTGCAGATTTGGGTGACCTCAAGATGGGTGAGTGGATTCACACTTATATTGAAAAACATCAATTGCGAAAAACTGTACGTCTTAACAATGCGCTCATAGATATGTATGCCAAATCAGGGAGCATACACAAGGCCATACAACTTTTTGAGAGTATGGCCGAAAAAAATGTGGTAACTTGGTCAACTGTGATATCCGGCTTGGCTACTAATGGACTTGGAAGTGAAGCACTTGACATGTTTTCTCGTATGGAAAGGACCGGAGTGAAGCCCAATGATGTGACTTTACTTGCTGTACTTTCTGCCTGCAGCCATGCTGGTTTTGTTGAGTTAGGACACTGTTTTTTCCAAACAATGGAAGAAAGATATGGAATTAACCGCAGCATTAAGCACTATGGCTGTGTTATTGATCTCTTAGGGCGAGCCGGTCGCCTTCAAGAAGCTGAAAACTTAAGTAAAGCAATGCCCTTTGAGGCAAATGCAGCTATTTGGGGATCACTACTTGCTGCATCTAGGAACCAAGGCAATATTGAAATTGGGGAGCGAGCTCTACAGCATCTCCTCAAGGTCGAGCCTCATCATAGTGGGAATTATTCACTTCTGTCTGGCATATATGCTTCTAATGGTAGGTGGGTTGAAGCTAGGGACACAAGGGTAGTTATGAGGGAAATAGGTGTTAAAAAGAAGCCAGGTCAGAGCTCCATTGAGGTGGATAACAAAGCTTATGACTTCAATTCTGAAGATATATTCCATCCTCAGCTTGACCGAATACATAGAACTCTGCTGCAGTTAAATAGACACTTGAAGATGCCAAGTCATGCTGTAAGGGACTACGAGGATCTGCTTGATTCTGTTGGCTTGTAAGATAATTTACTCTCCTCCTATGTATGTAATGAAACTGCACACAAACAATTTCGAAACCAAGCTGATGGGCGAGATTACGAATGTGTGTTCTGATATGAAGTTCCTGAAATCTCAATGATCTGATTTGGACTTCTGTCTGGTCAATCTTTTTGGTCTTATTATTTTATTTTGGTCTGGTCTTGAATTGACTCTCAAGGTTGTTTGCGAGTGATGAAACCTGACTAGGACATTACTTTTTGACCTTAAAAGGTAGGGAAAAATCTATTTGGGTATGTTTGGTTTGGGGTAATCTCACATGAAGGCCGGAATGTCATGCGCGGAATGTCAGATACCCATGTTTGGTTCACGGGTTTGAGAAAAAATCGGAAAAGTTAGATTCCCGGGAATGTAATATGGAAGGACATCTTATAACCACCAATGTCTTAGGTTATCTTACATTTCCGATGATGATCTAATTTTCTTCCGAAAATACCCTCAATTAATTATCTCTTTTCAATTAATTTCTTTATATAGTGCGATTTTATAAAACTTATAATGTAATTTCTAAACATGTAAATTATATTTACTAACAAATAATCTTATTATTGAAAGAGATCAGTTAATTTTATGGTCAGTCGATCGTAGATTGTATGACAACCATTTAAGTAGGACAAATGGAGTATGTTTATTTAATTATATTCGAATGTCTATTCCTGTTATTTTCATAATTCTTTTTTCCTTAACTTTAATTTTTTTAAGGTATTTATTTTTATACTCCGTAAGACTTATAGATTATTTAAGTTTTTGATAAGTGGATTTCAAAATTTAATGGCAAAATTGATCATTTTTTCTCTAATTAGAAAAGAAGTTTTATGAATAACTTGAACATTTTTTAAATTTAATTGTTTGGAAATAGTAATAAATATATTTAGATTGAACAAAGTTTTTTTTCACTTTTGAATTGGATCTACAACTTCTTACAATTACACATACTTTACTTAAAAACAATTCAATTAGGTTTGATGTTATTTATTATTAAGATATTTCATTTTTTCTTTAAATTTAATTACTTTAGATGTAGGTTAGATGTAGGTTGTAATAGATTTATTGTGTTAAGATAAAATATTTAAAGGGCATTGAAGTAATTTACCATATCTGCAATATAAGATATCTTTCAACCAAGTAGATTAATATCACATTCCTTTAATCTTAACCAAACGCAAATGTTAATAAATTTGATATATTCTCATCAATCTGACATTCACATGGTAATCTGACATTCTTTGAACCGAACATACCCTTTGAGAGTGTACGTCCTCTATTTTGAGAGTTATAAAAATTTCAGAAATTTTGAGAGTTGTGCGTGTACAGATATGTGTACAGACAAGTGTGTGAAAAGTGTACAAAAAATATGTGCACCAAGCAAAACCCAAGAAGTGTTGGTTGTTACTTCATTGGTATAATAAGTGTATAATAATGAAAAAAGTACAATAACCAAGTCATTCCAGCCCAGCTGGTTGTAAGGTTACTGTGCCTAGTAGAAGGTCTCGAGTTCGAAACCCGCTAGGCATATAAAGGTTTGAAACTCAATGGAGTGGGTTTCAGTCCTGATTACTCCAGGCTCCTCTCAGCCCCCCCAAAAGCCCCTGGAGTATTTAAAAAAAACTAAAAAAAAATGAAAAAGTACAATAATGAATATATTCTGACTCAACAATGACCCTATAGTTACCATAAAATTACTCATATTTTATATGATGAGTGTGCAATTGTTTTGCCCTGAGTCCCTGACTATACATTTGAACTTTAGAAAGTTATAAAGGCTGTTACAAGTGTAATATGGTCATTTCATTAACTTTTACTATTATAACAACCTTTACTCTTACACAAAGAAACATTAGATTATCAAAACCTACTATGGTGGACCTAGGGGTGGACTCGGGCCGGGCGGCCCGGCCCGGTCACTGTTTGAACCGGCCCGAACCGCCGGCCCGGCCAGGGACCAGTCCGAGTAGGCCCGACCCGCTGGGGTTCCGGGCCAGGCTCGGGCACCTGAAAAGGTGAACCGGCCCGGCCGGTTCGGGCCCGGTCCGGGCCAATTTATTTATTTTTTCTTTTTTTTTTTTGGAATTTTTTTTTAAGTTTTTGGGTTGGGTTGGGTATTTTGGGCCATTTGAGCTGGTTTGGGGTGGTTTGGGGTGAGGGGGAGGGTTGGGAGTTCATTAGGAAAAGCCAAAAAAAAATTAAGTTGAATCGAGGCCCGGCCCGAACCGGACCCGGGGGTTACCCGGGCCGGTTCCGGGCCTCCCTTTTCATGAACCGAGGCCCGGCCGGGCCCGAACCGGCCCGAGTCCACCCCTAGGTGGACCTCCTGTAATATCACCTTTTGAATCTTGGCCTTGACCGTTCCCGTTAATTAATACGGAGTACGTAGGGAGTGTTTGCGATTACTTCTATTTTAAAAAAGTGTTTTTTAAAAGTGATTTTGGAGAAAGTACTTAATAGTAAAAGTTGGTAGTGTTTGAGAAAAAAAATGATTCTGGAAAGGTAAAAGTGGGTAGTGTTGATAAAATAAGTGTTTTTTATGTAATAGAAAAAGTGAAAAGCAGTTTAAAGCACCATTTCACCTACTTCCAGCTTTTAGCTTTTAAATGATTAATTTAAACAGAAGTTGTCATTTGAAAACACTTTTTTCAGTTTTTTATTTAAAACCAAAAGCTGAAAAGTGTTCTATTTAAGTAACTGCAAACACTCATGTAGTATCACTGACTCAAATATGTGCTTAGTCTTTGCCTAGTCTTTTGCATTACCTTCTCATCTAGCTCATGATTTTCCCTCAAGTCATCTATATATCTCCAACTCAAAGTCTCAAACGTGTGCTTATCACGATGCTATTTCTATGACAAAAAGACATTCATGATTTGGTTTAAATGTCTATTTGATACTTCATCTCTATTTAAAAGTTTCCTACACTTTTTTTGGTATGTATTTAAAAGTTCCATAGACTTCCATATTTGGTAAGTTTATCCTTTAGGTTGCCCACAACCCAAGGTTCAATAAGGTAAATTTAATCTATTCACCCAAAAGAACACAACAACCCATGTATTTGGGAAGGCTAAAGTGGGAGCAAGAGACTCCTTGGGGTGGAGCTATCGACTCACTGCATGCTGGAGCAACAGGACAAATGGAGCAGCTGCCTCTGATGTGGGTCCCAGCTGTCAGCCGCGCGTTAGGTTACTGCAGCAGCTTGTGCGGTCTGAAGGCACGCGTGGTGTGGACTCTCGTCAATTTGTGACTTGGTCTTCCGTGAATAAAAAATCTAGCCTTTTGGTTGGCTAAAATTTAAAAAAAAACATTTTTAGGTAGATTATTTAAAAAAACATTTTTAGCTAAAAAAACCTACGAAAAAAATTATTATTTTTACATCAAAATGTTGAGTTTTTAAATCATAAATATTTGTAAAAAGAGAAAATGTCATATAATTGATGTGTGATAATAAAAGTAAGAACTTATACATTTATTTTAAAAAAACTATGTTGAGTGAATATATTGTCGGTGCTGGATTGCAGAGAAAAACTGATTGACTGAGTGAATACGTATAAAATGCTGGTAAATTTGATTTATTGACGGGAGCGGGTTGTGGGCAGCCTTATAAGACCATTTGGAGTGGTGAGGTATTAGGAGTCCAAAATGCTAAATGTAGAATTTTTGGACTCCTAATTGTGTGTAGTGGTAGTTTAAAAGGGGTATTAAAAATGGAAGAGGGGATGGAAGGTATTAAATATAGAGGGTTGGGTAAGAGGGGAGTGGGAAAAAGAAAAGGAAAGAAAAAGAAGAGAAAAGAGAATGTAGGTTGCTTTTCTGGTGCAGATGATGTCATGCCGATGTCATCCCTGCATCATAATATCCAAAAAAAAATTAAACTTGTATAACTTTTTTATTTTTTATCCAAATTTTTCAAAAAGTATATCAAAATTCATAAATTTTTATGATCTTTCATATGACACCAATATGTAATATATAAAAATGATTTTTTTAAAAGTTTTAACTGTTGAAGTTTTCTTGAACCCCGGAAAAACATGAAACACAAATCTTTAATTCATGAAGCCTTCACAAATAATTGAATATTCCATAATTGTACTTTACTTGAATTAAGATCATATTTTGTTAACCGAAAAACATAAAAAAAATTAATGAAATTTATTTATTTTTATATCGAAATGTGTCTTTTTTATTTTATAATTAATCAGAGAAAAAATTAAAGCGAAAACATTACTTATAATAATTTAATTAATGTTATACTAAATTAACATGTAAAAAAATGTGCAGAGTGTATTTTATTGACGGTGCTGGAATGCAGAGAAATAGGAGTCAAAACACTGCTTTCATATGGACGAAGTCCATTTTTGACATTTAGACTCCCTCACCACTCCAAATGGTCTATAATACTATACTACCCTTACTTTATTTACTTGTTATCTTCTCTTTCATACTTTTACACACTCTCTCCTACTTTTTCTACACTATTCGTTACTCTTACTATTCTATCCTCAAATAGTAAGGGAACATATAAATACGGAGGGAAGTATTAGGATAAATCTCTAAGTAGCGTGAATTCTAATGAACGTATCCTTTTATTTGCAAAATCTATGTCATGTTGTTCTTCCCAAACTCAAATTCAAAAGCCCCCTTCACAGTTCAATCTCTTGGAGCTTTTTGAATATAGCATGAGAAGTGAATTCCATACCCCTGGTTCAACAATAGGAGTCCATTTGGCAATTACTATTTTCAGCTTATTAACTTTATCAGTCTATTGCGCACTTAGTTATGTAATAATCAAAATAAGTAAGGTTGAAATTATTTTTCTGGTTGAATTGTATGAAGTTAATGTAGAAGACAATTTAGCTATTTTCATCATTTTTTTTCTTAATTTCATTAACAAAATATAATTTATTTATTTTTCATAATTTAGCAGATTCAGCCATAAATTCATAAAATTCATCAAATTTAAAGACTCGGCCAATCATCATTGAACACTTGTAGATTTTCCTCATTTAAGTTTATTTAAACAACATTTCCTATAAATTTGAAATAATCAATGGGTTAACTGAGTTACCGTGACTTACAATCTCCCAAATGTCTTGTCGGATTGGGACATAGAATCCTTAGAGTTGGAGATTTAACCTTTCGGAGGATTGAAATTACCTTTTAGGTGCATTCATAGACTCCTTGTCCCACCCTAATAAAAAATGTCTTCCTCACTCCCTTGGAAATTGGAATAGTGCTCAATTGCTCATCATATATCTACTTGCATTTGAATAGCTTCAGTTTTCATAGGCACTATCTGCACTCTACCAATTGTGATTCAATAATAACATGCGTATTATTTAAATGACGCATTGTGATTCGTGATTAAAATGGACTCACGCATCTAAATCAATATTTTTTTAATCGAGTGGTTAAAATTGCCTGGGCACTCAACCTTGCTTTGATAGGTAAGCTGAGATCCCTGATCTAATGGAGTGTGAGCTAACAGTGCAATATTTAAAAGAGAGAGAAAATGGTTAAATAAATCCATATATATACTTAAATAAGTGTCAAAGTCATATGTCTACTAACTAGAAACAATAATATAAAA